GGATGAATAAACTATAAGCTATTATCACAAGACAAAAGGGGACCATTTGGTGCTGTACATTATAATGAGGCATGCAGACCACCTGTAGATGCTAAGATGTTTTTAACACTGGATTAAGTTTAACACCTAACATTGAATTTGAATTCTTGTCTGGGAACCTGTAGCTACACCAATAATGTGTGGCTTCAGGACTGAGCAAAGAAAAAAGTGTGCCAGAGTGTAGTGTACAGCAACTTTCTTTTACCTGTGAGTCCTTAAGATGGCCATACACTGTCTAAGTTCCTGATAAATGGGCCAAAATTAGCTTCAAAGATGGCCCTGTTGGCACCTTCACACCCAACATCCTTCAACTGAAAATTAAGGAGCTGGGTGGAAAATTGTCAGCTGAACAGCATCTGTATCCAAACAGATGCATTTGCTGTTTGGGTATTTTGGCACTGGCTGACAGAATACAATAGCAGCAGCATAGTATTCATCCAGTCAAGCTGTACAATGGCCACAGAGGAATCTGTCCAAAAAATTTTTGTTCAGCCAAAACAATCTGTATGACCAGTCTTAGTGCATTGGGATGGGAAATCAGCAGCTACTATGCCTAGAACAATTCAGCCAGCAATGAGGAATGTATGCTACTTAACCATGTTCAAGAAATTGACTGTCAGGGATTTATATATAAACTGTTGCTGTTAGGAATGGTAATCCTGAAATCTTTTATTTCTCCATTGATAGACCTTTAGAGCAAAGGACAAACCTTGACCAGTTTGGTGTCAATACACTTTTTTCAGAGTGCAAATAACCCATCTGTTTGGTCATAGACATAAGATAGTGGATGGAAATAAAGCAGGATGTATTCTTAATGATCATTATGTGGCTATACATTCAGTATATGCTGCATTTGTAAACAATGAAGAATGAGCATACATGTATGCATAGCATGCAGAAAAATTGAGACAAAAACCTGTAACCCCTGTGCTCATGATAAGTGAAACATGCCACAGGAAAGAGCTTAGGTGTTTTTTTCTAAGTACCTATACAGAATAGACAATTTCCTCAGGTACTAGTTCAGCAACCAACCCACAGAAACACCAAAGGCTTGAAGCATTGGTCTAGTCATTATTCTGTATTATCTAGCCTGACAGAGGCCCCGCTCACATTCCCTTCCTGGAGTTCACAGTCCATTCCAAGTCACTGCAACAGCAGTGAAATGATAAATTAGACAAGACAGCGTATAGAATGACATTTCTATAGTTTCTATTTTTGTAGCACGTCTGGGATTTTTCTAGTAACTTTTGTTGTTGCATTGTATAATTGCTGGTTGTGCTGTGATGTTCTGTAAAGGTCTCTTTTCACACTATCATATAGAACCAACTGAAATGCAAACAGTGTTTATTAGCAGTGTAATCACACAAGACAATGCAGAGATGCTTGACATTCACACTATCCTTTCTGAGTAGAACTGTTCTGCCTTAACATTCTGTAGACCAATTCAGACTAAGCTTACTGATCCTTGAGTTCTGTATATAGACAAAGAAAAGGAACAATATGTTAATAAATCCTAATGCATTAAACTAGTCACTAGCAGAATTAGTTCTCACTTGTGGGTACAGATCTGCTGAATTTATCGTATAACATTCTGTGTAAATGTTTAATTGATGACAGCTTCAAAAATGGTACCCTGATCTTAAATTGTTCCCAAAGCAAGGATGTGTTACCTAGCTGGTATGATATCGATTTTTCCCTGTTTTGAAATATTTGCTAAATTTTGTTACTTCCTACTGCAATTATTTAAAGTGTATGTTTGGGTAAATAATATATATATATATATATATATATAATCAGTATGCAAAACAAAAATCAACAGTGTTCAAATCTACGTTATAACTGAAAATGGCATCTGCCAGCACAGTATTCATAGATTTAATTATGGTACACATAACCTTCCTAAATATCAAGTTCACCTTTAAAACATGTCACATTGGAACACTTGTATTTAGAGTGAAACATGTAACATGCTCCCGGATTGCTCCCCACCCCTCTTTCCTCTTGACAGCCTGCAGAGCCACATCATTCATTCACAGAGCTGTGAATAAATAAACTACTAGTTCCATATGCCACCACGACAATACTAGTAGTTCTCAATGGACTACGAGTGTGCTGATCAGCACGCTTGTAGTTTAATTTCTCTTCCTACAGCTACAATGGATATAAAAATTTTAAACACCCTGTTAAAATGTTAGGTTACTGTGATGTAAAAAAATTAGACAAAGATAAATAATTTCAGAACTTTTTCTACCTTTAATGTGACCTATAAACTGTACAACTCAATTGAAAACAAACTGAAATATTTTAGGGGGGAAGTAAACATAAAAAAGTAAAATAATGTGGTTGCATAAGTGTGCACACCCTCTTATAATTGGGGATGTAGCTGTGTTCAGAATTAAGCAATCACATTCACAATCATGTTAAATAGGAGTCAGTACACACCTGCCATCATTTAAAGTGCCTCTGATAAACCCCAAATAAAGTTCAGCTGTTTTAGTTGGTCTTTTCTGACATTTTCTTAGTCACATCCTACAGCAAAAAGCCATGGCAGAGAGCTTCCAAAGCACCAGAGGGATCTCATTGTTAAAAGGTATCAGTCAGAAGAAGGGTACAAATAATTTCCAGGGCATTAGATATACCATGGAATACAGTGAAGACAGTCATCATCAAGTGGAGAAAATATGGTGCAACAGTGACATTACCAAGAACTGGACGTCCCTCCAAAATTGATGAAAAGACGAGAAGAAAACTGGTCTGGGAGGTGCCAAGATGCCTACAGCAGCATTAAAGGAGCTGCAGGAATATCTGGCAAGTACTGGCTGTGTGGTACATGTGATAACAATCTCCCATATTCTTCATATGTCTGGGCTGTAGGGTACAGTGCCAAGACAGAAGCCTTTTCTTACAAAGAAGAATATCCAAGCCTGAATAAATTTTGCAAAAACACATCTGAAGTCTCCCAAAAGCATGTGGGAAAATGTGTTATGGTCTGATGAAACCAAGGTTGAACTTTTTGTCCATAATTCCAAAAGATATGTTTGGCACAAAAACACTGCACATCACCAAAAGAACACCATACCCACAGTGAAACATGGTGTTTTTTTTCAGCTGGAACGGGGGCATAGAGGGTAGAGGGAATTAGAAGAGTTCCAAATACCAATCAATATTGGCACAAAACCTTCAGGCTTCTGCTAGAAAGCTGAACATGAAGAGGAACTTCATCTTTCAGCATGAAAATGACCCAAAGCATACATCCAAATCAACAAAGGCATGGCTTCACCAGAAGAAAATTAAAGTTTTGGAATGGCCCAGCCAGAGCCCAGACATGAACAGAGGGCTGTACACAGGAGATGCCCTCACAATCTGACAGCTTTGGAGTGTTTTTGCAAGGAAGAGTGGGCAAATATTGCCAAGTCAAGATGTGCCATGCTGATAGACTCATACCCAAAAGACTGAGTGCTGCAATAAAATCAAAAGGTGCTTCCAAAAAATATTAGTTTAAGGGTGTGCACACTTTTGCAACCATATTATTTTAGTTTTTTTTTTCACTTTCCTCCACCTAAAAGATTTCAGTTTGTTAAAGGTTGAAAAAGTTCTGAAATTATTTATCTTTTGTCTCATATTTTTACATCACAGAAACCTAACATTTTAACAGGGGTGTGTAGACTTTTTATATCCACTGTATCTCACTGAAAGCCCATACAGACATATGGTCAGAAAGCTGGAAAGAGAGTCTGACATTGCACCCATGATTCACTAATCGTGGTTGCAATGCTTTACAGGCTGTAGGAAAAAATAATAAACACTTTTTTTCTACAAAAAATATGTGCATTTATTATTTTTTCCTTAAAGGTGAAATTGGTGTAAATTGGGCCTTTTGGAAACACTAGATTTCAGTTGACCATTGTGTTGGGTCTGCATGAAGCAATACAGCCGAATGGGAGTGGTGTGAATGGGCCCTACTGGTTGTTCCCTTTTGGTTTTGTGCTGAGATAACATCCAGGTAGCATGAAGTATAGAGGTAGTACAGATGGAGGTTGCTGGTAAATCACCAGGTAAGGGAACAATGTAGTTTATACTTTTATGGAATACTGCATAGTTTCAATGTTATTACATGTTTTCAGGGGTGTATGTGTGCAGAGCAGACAGCAAAAATTAGCCTTGGGTGTATGTAACTGATATCCAGCCAACAAAATACTAAGGAAATTCTAAACATACTTTTAATAGCATTTAAACCTTGGAAACTTTTCACCTTGCTGATCCCAGCTGATAATACTTCTCAATGTCTTAATAGGTTTTGCCACTTTATAATGAAATGTGTTCTTTGGTGATTCAGATACCATGACTCCTTCCTTTCTTCTTCTTTTGTCAACACTCCCTCTAATTCCAGTCATTATTGTTTTGTGTTTACTAAGTGATGATGGCTTCTGTTCCCTAAACTGTTGTTTTTCTAATCTTTATTAGATGTTTAAGTAGTGGGTGGTAAGTAGAATATCCACAAGGTAGCAGACAATTGCAAAATAACTGTACATGAACAGCTTCTGTGAACTGTTCTTATAAATTTACCCTGAAACAGCTTTTTGACAGTTTAGGTTATTTTTAACTGACTAGATTCTAAAGGGATATACTTTTACTAGTAACTATATTCTCGTTTCAATCATTTTTATTGTAATTATTTCAAATAAACAAAACAATAGACACAGCATCCATTTCCTGATGAAGCATAACATGTAGATCTGGGTACAGATAGGATTCAATAGAAATCAAGAGATGATGTACCATATATTACTTGTAAAGAACATAACTGTGATCAATCAAAAGATTTAAACATGTTCAGCGTAACTATAACTGGGCCTCCAGTAATGGAATGCACTGAGAATTTAGGGATGTAACTATATTCTATTTATTGCGTTACTTCTTTACTTGTTTGAAACATTTACCTTATTCCTGGTTTCCCTCAGCTTTTTGGCTTCATATTGGTTGGTGTGTTCTCTTATGATGCATACAGCATATACAAAATGGAGATTATCGACAAATCAGCAGAGAGAGGTAAGCTTTTAAACTCACTTTGTCTGCTCAGTTTATCTTCATTGCCATATCCAGTGGCTTTGCCTATTGGACTGTAAATTATATAACCATTAAATATATTCTTTCCCTGATAAACATATATTCTATTATAGCCCAAATCTAGGTTGGGTAGCTTCCACATTGTGGCAGTCCCTGCAAAATCTGTTAAACATTTTTTTTCCCCACTTCCTTCTGGCTAGTCACACGATGTCCTGCAGTCATTTCTTTCTTCTCCCTTTTGCAGTGGTGGGTAGTCCTGTATGCTGCAGAGAACAGCTCGCACATAGCCCCTGAGCAGGGGCGGACTGACAACTCATGGGGCCCCCGGGCAATAGGGGATCATGGGGCCCCTGTGTCCTTGCCCAAACTCAAAAAAGCCTATGAAAAATGTACCAGGGGCATCTCATGGGGCCCCCTACTGACCCCAGGCCCTCGGGCAGTGCCCGAGTTTCCAAATGGTCAGTCCGCCCCTGCCCCTGAGATAGACATACAGATATATAAAAGCTCCCCAAGCTGACTGTTGAATAGGGCCAACATATTCTAGTGGGCTTCACAAGTCCTACAATGTTGGCACCATAAATTAAATGTTGGGGTGGAATTATTTAATAACATAGTGATAAATGAATCAACCCAATGCCATCAGCTACTGGTCTAAAGATGTAAATGATTTTTATTCACAAAGTAGCACAGACATGTAGCAACTCTTTGTGAATATAAAATAGTTGTACGTATGATTACATGCACACCATTGTGGCTTTGCCTACATGCTTTTGGTGTTTCACATAAAAAATATTGCAAATGCTTTCAGTCACACTTCATGGACCAGCATAGATCTACGTTTGCTTATTAAATCATAGCTAAACATAAGAGCAATGTGTAGTATATTGAAGCTTACCAAACTTTTTACCAGTTTTTTTTTCAGGTTAAAGCGGAGCTCCACCCAAAAGGGGAACATCCGCTTTAAGGCCTCGTACCCCGCTCCCCGTTAAGGATTGGCACCTTTGGGGAATGGGTACCTGATTTTGACAGGAAGTTGTCTTCCCTCCCAGTAGTCTTCAGGGACATGAGACAGGTCCCAGCAGACTACGGGACCATTCACAAGGTGCAGTGCTACTCGCACATGCACAGTGGACACCTGGCTGTGAAGACGCAAGTTGTCACAGCTGGGTGCCCACACTTTAGGTGCTGGTGCCAGGGAGAGAGGATGGCCAGTGAAACTGGCTGCGGTGAGGACACCACTGGATCGTGGGACAGGTGAGCATTTTTTAAAAGTCAGCAGCTACAGTTTTTGTAGCTGCTGACTTTTATTTTTTAAGATTTTGACTGGAGCTCTGCTTTAAGAAGATTTTCAGCAAGTACAGAAAATACCTATTGATCTTGCCAAAAATGCAGGGTCTCTGTCACTTCCTGTGAGCTAAACGTTTAAAATCTTTGTGTATACTAATATCCATGTAATAGAGATGAACAAAAAACAGACATACACTATATTTCCAAAAGAATTGGGACGCCTGCCTTTACACACACATGAACTTTAATGGCATCCCAGTAATCCGTAGGGTTCAATATTGAGTTGGCCCACCCTTTGCAGCTATAACAGCTTCAACTCTTCTGGGAAGGCTGTCCACAAGGTTTAGGAGTGTGTCTATGAGAAAGTTTGACCATTCTTCCAGAAGCGCATTTGTGAGGTCAGGCACTGATGTCGGACCAGTAGGGATGGTTCACAGTCTCCCCTCTAATTCATCCCAAAGGTGTTCTATCGGGTTGAGTTCAGGACTCTGTGCAGGCCAGTCAAGTTCCTCCATCCCAAACTCGCTTATCCATGTCTGTGTGCACTGGTGCAAAGTCATGTTGGAACAGGAAGGGGCCATCCCCAAACTCTTCCCACAGAGTTGGGAGCATGAAATTGTCAAAAATGTCTTGGTATGCTGATGCCTTAAGAGTTCCCTTCACTGGAACTAAGGGGCCAAGCCCAACCCCTGAAAAACAACCCCACACCATAATCCCCCCTCCACCAAACATTACACTTGGCACAGTGCAGTCAGGCAAGTACCATTCTCCTGGCAACCAACAAACCCAGGCACATCCATTGGATTGCCAGAGAGAGAAGCGTGATTCGTCACTCCAGAGAACATGTCTCCACTGCTCTAAAGTTCAGTGGCGGCGTACTTTACACCACTGCATCTGATGCTTGGCATTGCACATAGTGATGTAAGGCTTGGATGCAGCTGTTTGGTCATGGAAACCCATTCCATATAGCTCTCTACGCACTGTTGTTATGCTAATCTGAAGGCCACACAAAGTTTGGAGGTCTTTAACTATTGACTCTGCAGACAAATGGCGACTTCTGCACTTCAGCATGCGCTGGACTCTACTATTTGAAAGTGACCCATCTGCCCCTCAGCAGCCCATCACACTAAATAACCAATAGGAAGGCAAAGGAAATGAAACAGGTGGCACCAGCTAAAATACACATGAAAATTTCTACTGCATTCTGTATTTTCTCTTAGATATCTCTCATTCTAGATTAATTTCTCTGTGTTGTAGGTGCTGCTGATGTGTGAGGACCATGCACCAAGACTGATATCCTACTCTGGGAGATGACCTGGGCATTTTAGTATTGTGTGGTTCATTTTTCAACCATGATGAATTTAACGCTTGTCAGATTTTAAACTTATTCTAGATTCTCAGTATACAGTATATGTTCTACACTCCTGTTATGAGCCAAAACAACTAAAGCAATTTGTTACAAAGAGATGTACAATGTTAAGGTTATATAAATGTGTGCCTATTAAAACATGTGATTCTTCTATATGTAAGACACTGGTGCTGTAGTAGCTTTTATTTCAAATACGTGACCTTGCCAAATAGGCAGAAAATGAAGTATACAGTAAATGACACCTAATGGAGTAAAACCAGTAGATTCAGAAAGATAGGTATCTAAAACTACTTGATTTTCATGAAAATATGAAATGTCTTTTCTAATAAGGGATACCTGTCAATCTTAATACAGATTGTTTTATTACTGGAAAGAGTAACACATTTTTTGTCAATGTTGTGCTTTTAGCTAGCAAACATTTCCATTTACAGCCCAACCTGCATTGAAATTGTCATTGCTTTTTATATTCACGCAAGCATTGAATGCAGAAGACCATCAAGCACCCATGTTATTAATATTTCCAGATCCAAGCAGTCAGGGACTTTAAAGGTGCTTATCAACACTCTATAGAACTAGAATTTAAAACTTCAACAAAGTTTATTGAGTTACATAACTAAGATGTTTCATAAAACAACCACATTTTCACAAGGTCTAGCTGACCTCATTTTTACAGCGGAACATTGGTTTTATCAATCCCAACATGTTTCACCCAGAGGGGCTTCTTCAGTGGAAAAAAAGACTGATGATCAAAAGCTATATAAAAGACATACAAGAAAATATATAAGTGGACAATACATAAACAATTTACAATAACAATACTTGATATTGCTATATCTGCCGCTAAAACCAAATCATGCTTACCCTGCTATTTATCTTTCATTTATAGGAGGGAAAGTTAAACAAGCCTCAAAATGGCATCAATATACCAGAGGTACAAGTAGCTAGATTTTTAGGGAACACTTCCTGGGAATACAGTAAATGCAAATAAAGCTTCACATAAAAGAAATAGAATACCTATTTTGCATGGCAGACCTGTACATGAATGCACAACTACTGGTTTACTTCTAGTTATCACTTAATTCAACAAGTTCTTTTGTTCGATTTGTACATATGACTTTAATGGAGGATGAAGTACAAGCAGCTAGAGTTCAGGCAATGCTTGTATATTTCCATTGCTGGAGTGAAACAAATATAAAACAAATGCCAAAGGAAAGTATTGTTTCTACCTATCTACCTACCTGGCATACATCCTATCTGGTATACAGTGAAGCAGCATGGAATGACTCTATTGGAGTTGTACAGCTGTATTGAACCCCAAACCAAAAACGTAATACATTGCAGCTTACCAATCATTAGATGGTGGTTGTACTGGTTTTCTTTTCTTAGGCTTGTTTTCTCTCATTTTTCACCTGGTGATCTGGCCAGTAACACACCTCTTATATTAGAGTGCCCCCACTCTGGATGAACCAGCACACCTTTGGACAGCAGCATTGTCAATCTGAGAGGGAGGGTAGTGTTAGATTTACTAGCAGATTTACATACAGTAACAAATTGAAGCTAAACTCCAGCTAATACTTTATTAACAGTTACAACAAGCAGTTTTTTTACTTTAGGGATAAAGGTTTTACATAAATAAAAGCTGATCATGGTAATCACCCCTGCTAGTGTTAAATGATTTGTCTCATCTTTAAAATGGATTCATTCTGCTGGAGGCCTTGTTCTTTTGAAAAACAACAGACTTACTGGCTGGATCACCAGATGAACATAGAAGAAAGAAAGCCTAAAAAAGAAAATGAATACAGCTATTACATCTAAGAATTGGTAAGCTGCAATATAATAAAAGCTTGTTTTTGTGTTTAGTTCAAGAAAGGAGACTTTAAGCAATGCTAACTGTATGTAAATAAATGTCTCTAAGAGGAAGGAACTCTGGACTCTGGGATTTTTCTATGGCTGGTTTGTTAATTCTTCTCCCATTATTCACTCTCTATTATTATTCACTTCAACTCTAACAGCTGTATACACTTTATGGAGTGGAATCTTTTTTAATTTTCAGCTTATTGGATAAACAATAATCTTGTCATTATGTATGGTACCAAATTGATACATATACACTGCTCAAAAAAATTTAAGGAACATTTTGAAAACACATCAGTAGGGAAAAATATCATGCTGGATATCTATACTGATATCGACAGGGTAATGTGTTAGGAAAGTAAGGATGCCCCATCGTTTGATGGAAATGAAAATTATCAACCTACAGAGGACTGAATTCAAAGACACCCCGAAAATGAAAGTGAAAAAATTATGCAGCAGGCTAGCCCATTTTGCTGAAATTTCATTGCAGCAACTCAAAATGGTACTCAGTAGTTTGTATGGCCCTCATGTGCTTGTATGCATGTCTGACAACGTCGGGGCATGCTCCTGATAAAACGACGGATGGTGTCCTGGGGTATCTCCTCCCAGATCTGGACCAGGGCATCATTGAGCTCTTGGACAGTCTGAGGTGCAACCTGGTGGCGTCAGACGGACCGAAACATGATATGCCAGAGGTGTTCTATTGGATTTAGGTCAGGCGAGCGTGGGGGCCATTCAATGGTATCAATTCCTTCATCCTCCAGAAACTGCCTGCATACTCTCGCCATCTGAGGCCGGGGATTGTTGTAGGAACCTAGGACCCACTGCACCAGTGTAGGGTGTGACAATGGCTCCAATGATTTCATCCTGATACCTAATGGCAGTCAGGGTGCCATTGTCTAGCCTGTAGAGGTCTGTGCGTCCCTCCATGGATATGCCTTCCTAGACCATCACTGACCCACCACCAAAACGGTCATGCTGAACGATGTTACAGGCAGCATAACGTTCTTCACGGCTTCTCCAGAACCTTTCATGTCTGTCACATGTGCTCAGGGTGAACATGCTCTCATCTGTAAAGAGCACAGGGCTTCAGTGGCGGACCTGCCAATTCTGGTGTTCAATGGCAAATGCCAATTAAGCTCTATGGTGCTGGGCAGTGAGCACAGGGCGCACTAGAGGATGTTGGGTCCTCAGGCCACCCTCATGAATTCTGTTTCTGATTGTTTGGTCAGAGACATTCACACCAGTCGCCTGCTGGAGGTTATTTCGTAGGGCTCTGGCAGTGCTCATCCTGTTCCTCCTTGCACAAAGGAGCAGATACTGTTACTGCTAGAGGGCTAAGGACCTTCTATGGCCCTGTCCAGCTCTGCTAGAGTAACTGCCTGTCTCTGGAATCTCCTCCATGCTTTTGAGACTGTGCTGGGAGACACAGCAAACCTTCTGACGGTGGAGTTGGACTGCATGTGCAACCTCTGTAGGGTCCAGGTATCACCTCAAGCTACCAATATGACACTGACCCTAGCCAAATGCAAAACTAGTGAAAAACAGTTATAAGAGATGAGTAGGGAAAAAAATGTCAGTGGCCTCCACCTGTAAAACCATTCCTGTTCTGGGGGTCGTCTCACTCTTGCCCATCTAGTGCACCTATTGTTAATTTAATTAACACCAAAGCAGCTGAAACTGAATAACAACCCCTTCTGCTACTTAACTGGCCAGATCAATATCCCAGGAGTTTAATTGTCTTGATGCTATACTCTGATTAAAAAGTGTTCATTTTTTTTTGAGCAGTATATAATTTTAGGGACAAACAAGTCTATCTTTGGTGGTATCTTCCAAAATGTATTTTATTTATTTATTTATTTTGTATAACCTAAGAGAAATACTAAGCTGCTGAAGCCAATTTACACTTCTACAGTACATGATGTCATGTATGTATGTGCACTTTTTCTACACCACTTCCCACTGATTTCCTACTGCTAAAGTTGCTGAAGGTTAGGAAAGCTAGCAGTGGATTTTCTCTGATTTGTGGGAAACATTACAAGCTCCATTTTCATTACATGTAATGTAAGATCTGAGGGACTGGGAGATGCAAAACCAAGACAAGGCAAGAACTCACTGGAAATGATTTACTAAAGACAAATAGGCTGCTCACTTTGCAAGGGAAATTGTACTTTGCTGTGGAGTTTTTACTTTGCAAAGAATACCCAATTACATGAAAGGAAGAGAAAAAAAAAAAACAGAGTTTTTGTTTGCAAATGGTTGGATGACGGAAGTCAGCAGAGCTTCACCTTATTCACTAACCTCTGGGGAAACTTCCTTTGCAAAGTGCTGTTGCCTTTAATAAGTCAACCACCTGTCTCAATTTGGATGTTACTTAGTCTGCATACCATGATTTGCACTAGTGTACATTGACCAAAAAATAATTGGGTAATGACTCAAAATGTTAAAGTCAAATACAGGCAGTCACATAGCATTTTCAGAAGGAAAGCTAGGGCAACCTCCTTTTATTTTTTTCTTTCAGTATAGTAAAGGAGAGGCTCATTTGTATAATTCTTTTTGTTTCTATTTTTTCTGGCTAAGAAGGAATGATCTGTTTAGTCAAACATTTACTTTAAATGTTTTTCAGTATGTGTTGCAACATGTTCAACTGTAAACTGTTTTCTTTGCATTTTTTTTTTGTGAATCTGTTACATCACTTCTTATATGGAGATCCCACCAGTAACAAGCTTCCTGTTGCTGACTGGCAAGGCTTAGCTGCTGCTTTTCAGGCTGTGCTTCCTCGTTTGGCCATTGGGCTGCCTATCAGGTCTATCAGATAGGTAGAAAAATGGCCAGCTGAAGGTGACCACAAGACAGGCTGACAATGCTGCTAGTTGAGACACAGTGACATAGCGTTGTCAGCTGGACACAGGAAGTGTGATTACTGGCAGGATTTCCAGGTAGGAAGTTATGCAACTTACAGAAACATAGATTTACAGTTTACAATTACTTTAAGTCCACCACTTATGTTGGCTGCTTTTATAAACGGAGCAAAAATTAGAGCTCTGAAAT